TAAAGATATATTTTTTGACAGTAGAAAGATGTTTAACACCCTTGTAAATTAATGAATAGTCCTAAAAAAAAAGCTATCCCCCTCAGATCACACATTAGCAGCTCACACAACTTTGCTTGCTGTGCTTAAAGCTAACTATATTTAGGCAAACTTGATGGCTGTACAGCTTTATCTGAAACATCCACTTTCAAAGACAACCAGAGAGCTTGACTTTATGCTGGGAAAGAGCACATTAAGTTAAGAACAGAAGTCACAAAGGTTTATGAATAAAATCAACCGTGAGCAAAGAGATGCAAAGACAATTATCCTTCTGCTTCACAGCTCAAATTTTAAATCAAATGTAACATCTTTGAGAAAGGAACAGACTGCTCTAGGGGAACAGTAGGTGACCTTTATATGCACAGTGATATTATCAGCCTTAGCAAAGATGTGATCCCTTTACCATGAAGATGCCAGTACCAAAGCAGAGAATGTATATCTGGTGGAAATGAGCAGCTTCCAACAATTGCAGAGATTTCGTTTCCACATCCAGATTCATTAATGGATTCCTGTAGTTAGCACCCAGCTTACTCCCTCACCAAAGCTTCAGGGAGACAGATTTAGCCACAGTTGCATGAATACTGTTCCCAAATGCTGCTCTAAAGTGCTGAATATGACGTCAGAGTTTTGGTGCAGAGGTCACTGAGCAGCTGAATACAGAGGTCAGGCTCAGTTCAGAGATAATAAGAACTGGAAAATAATTTCTATTGAGCAGCTAATATCTCTTAGGTTGGACACCCCAAGAGTGACTATCAGATGGACACAACTGATAAATTTCCACCTTGGCTAAAGAACAGGGGTCAGTCTGGATGCAGAGGATGTTAAAGAGGGACAAAGAGGGACAAAAATTATTACCTCTACACACTCACCATAGGTCCCTGAAAGATCTGTAGGTCATGCAGGGGCTGTGCAGCTGATTCCAGTGGGAGGACAAAGCAAGAACACAACATAGTCCCACAGAGGACAAGTGATGCTTGGCTGGTGAGGGCACAAAGCAGCCTTCACTCCCCAGAGTAACAGGGCAGCAAAAAACAACCAGGTCCAAGATCAACGTGAGAAATCCAATTTGAGAATAGTATAAAACTCAACAGGACGCAGACTTACCTATGAGAAAAGCTGAAGTGCAGCTTCTGGGCTCACAGGCAGAGAATGCTGATAAAAAGCTAGATGAGTCCAATTAGAGCCAGTAAGGCCCATTAGTGACACCTGAAAAGGGAAGTAACCAAATTAAAACTGAAAGCTCAACATTAATGTCTTTGAACTTTGGGTCAGTACTTTTTTGCTTTGCTGAAAGATAGTAATTCCATCACTTTAAGGACCTCTTCCCTCAACTTCTGAAGTCTCTTCTGATTTATGAGCTCTACTCAAATTCTTGCATAACTTCTGTTCCACAATTTTGTATGGCACAGATGATCCAGTTTGGACTGAGTTTATAGAATCTGAGCTAGTTCTAAAAATGAGTTGACTATCAGACCTGAGAATCTTCAGAGACACGTCTATGCTACAAACTGTATAATAATTAGGTATTCTGTTGATTGATATCCATACTTATGCTGCGGAAAAAAATTGCAGTGTATCTGCAGAACACAGAGATACAAAGTGCCATCATGATGACAACTGGTTGTCAAAAGTAAGCAAATTAATTAAAGTTATGAGCAAAACAGCCACTGTCTGCATTGAAGAGTTTAAAAAAGGCTGGCATTGCTTCCCACCACTAAAGCACTAATTAAATAACTTTTTGAAAAAACTCATGAGTACTAGGTTTTATTTACATACCAAAGAATGGAGTTGACTTGCATACAATCTAAACCTTAATTAACTGCTCGTTGTGTCCTCCTTCCCTCTCCCCATAAATATTACACAAATACGTGTATCTGCTCAAAGGCAAGAAGATTCTCTGCCCTTTCTGGAGGCCTAAGGAATACACAATCACATCATACTTAAGACTACAAAACATTGAGCAAGTATGATATTCGGAAATACCTAATAAACATGTGAAATTTGCATTGCAAGAACATATGTTAAACTATTTGTGAAGTTCACAGGTATAAAATTTTAGAGTGTGTCAGTCTTCATTTTTTTTTAGCTAGTCAGTATTTTCTTCTCCCAGTTCACACCTTAGCTCTTTTGCAGCTTCTGGCCAGATGTCCATCATGTGTCATCCCAGAGAATTCTCTATTAGCTAACTTGATGCTGTCCTCAGCAGCAACACAATGAGCTCCATATGGGATACAGATAGACACAACTGAACTGATTATTGCACAGTATCGCCAGAAGAGTATACAACAGATAAGGCAAAGCCACAGCTCATTCATAGTTTCTGATCACAATATCTATGACCTGATTTTGCTGCAGAAATGTTATATTAGCTATCCAAGAATAGCAGAAAATCAGAGCCAAAACATATTCCTCTGTGATAAGACAAAAAGAAAGGAAAATCTGACCAGCCGTTTATAAAAATACTCAGTGATGGATACTCTACAGCCTCTATAGGCGCTCCTACCCGAGGCTTCATTATCTTAATCATTAAGGAAGAATGACTAGAATCTAATCTGACTTATCCTTACTGCTATTTCAGGATACTTGCTACTCTCCCCTGACTCCATAAATAATTTATTCCTTTCTATGCAGAACCTTCCATGTGCTTGAAGGCTATGAACAACAGTATCCTGGGCTGCACCAAAAGAAGGGTGGCCAGGAGTGGAAGGGAGGTGATTTTCCTTCTTTGCTCTGCCCCTGTGAGGTCTAGGTTGGTTTACTGCATCCAGACCTGGGGCCATCAGCACAAGACATGGAACTACTGGTGTAGGTCCAGAGGAGGCCACGAAGATGAAAGGAAGGTTAAAGAGGACAACGCAAGGCCCTTTTTGGTAGTGCCCAGTGACAGGATAAGAGGCAGTGGGGACAAACTGGAACACAAAGTTCACTCAGCCATTCTGTGATTCTGTGAAGATAAAAAAACTGACTGGGAAAGAAATCTTGGTGAGATGAAGTACAAAACAACATTCATAACGTTTAGAGAAAAGAAAGGAGGAAGGACAAAATGAAACACTGGAAATAAAGAAGACAGATTTCAAGTAAATCTTAGAATAAAAGTCCAAGTTACTCTACTGGAGAGGAAAGACAAGACATATGAGCTCTTGGCTTTACTGATATCAAACATGAAAAGAAAATATAGAAAACTATTAAAAGAAAAGCTCACATCACTGGAAATACTAAAGAACAGCACAAACATAAGGAAAAAAAAAAAACAATAACAACAAAACCACAAACCAAAAAACACCAACAGACCCAATCACAAAACAGAGTGCGTAAAACCAACAGGAAAAGACTTTGTTAGTAGTAAGGGAAAAAGAATTATAGTGTAGGTCCATAGTATAGTAAGGTCAGAGGAAAAAAAACTACTGACATGGGACCCCAGGAAGTTTAACAGCATGAAAAAAAAAGAAATAAATAAAATAAAACGGAAGACATTAACTCTGCTAATCTACCAATTTTGAGTTTATATTAATAGACAGGAATTCAGCTTAAAAGAGGAGGAATTAAATATTCTATGCTAAATTAAATATTCTCAAATTGCCCAGTTAGAATGAATTTATGCAAACATAATTAAAGATCTGGCTGAAGGGGCCTCACAACAACAAAATGACTACTTGTAGGATCTCAAGGGAAAAGAAAATAGTAAGCAATCAGAAAAAGAAACAAAAACAATATAAAGAATGAGGAAAAGAATCAGGGGAGTTTTCAATTAACATACATTCATAAACCATTACTTGCATAAACAAAATTTTAAGCACAAGGATAAAAAAACATAAATAATAGCTAAGACATATTGTTTATGAATAATTTGTATTAACCAAAGTAATTTGCCCTTTTGGCAGAATTACATGGCCTGTGAGTTATGGAAGAGCATCAAAATCTATAAATTATAAAGATTACTGCATGATCTGAACTTTTTTTTTTTTTTTTTTTTTTTTTAAGGAAGCTAGGAAACCAAGGTCAAAAGCTACAAAAGTTGCAAAATCAATAATTACATTACTGCTGTGTAGTTAGGGCTCCACACCGGCCTGCACAGCTCTGCTAGATATTTTCATTAATCATCTGAATAATGCACCAGAACACCTATTGTTACTAAATCAAAATGCATCAGCAAGTTGGGTCGTAGGGAAGAATGAACTCAGAAGGATCTCAAGATATCACTGAGTGACAATGATTAATATCCAATCACGCAGTGCAATTCCTGGGGCAGTAATCTTCAGTATAAGCATCCTTACTAGGCTTGTCTTAGAATTATTGAGAGTACTACAACAATCTGTTTATGAACTGAGAAAAATAAGAGTCACATTAGTTTGTTTCGTTCAAATGATAATGGAAAAGTTATTGTAATATGAAAATACACAAGATTTATATTTTGTTTCAGCATTTTGCCAAGGTTACTGTAGAAGGACTCACGCTATGCTCTAACTTACGGTACAATCAGCAAAAATAAGGATAAGACAGAACTAAAATGTAACAATAAGCATTTAGAAATACACGCAAGTGAGTCTTAAGGATACAGCTAGTTTTCATTAATACTCGCAGGGATTACTGAAAAGGATTGCTCTACTGAGCAAACGTTTGCATCCAATGTAGCTGCCTAAAGCTCTTCCACAGTCAATAAGCAGAAGCATGCACATTGAGGTACAGTTATCTCATCTTAGGATACACATCAGATCATGAGCCATACCTACTGCCGCGTTTTTATCTCCACTGACCATGAGGGACACTGCAAAACACACGTCTTAAATTAGAGAAGAACAATCTTGTCCAAAGTATTTAGGCAGATATTCTGAGCCATATGTACTATCAGTAGAAACAGAGTTGTGCCACACTTCTGTCTTTTCTGTATGGATTACTGAAAAATCAGTGAGAACCTCAGGTTGTCCACTTATGCTCACATATCTGTTGTCAATTCAGCTGATGTAAGTAGGTTATGAAGAATCATAAAAAAGACTTAATAGCTCTGAATTTTACCAAGGTATGCAGCTGACCTCATGCCTTGTAAGCTTGCTGAGATGCCTCTGATTATAGATGCACTGACTTCCGTGCCTCTTTTGGATAGATTGCCCTATCTGTTCTCTTTCCATCATGATTCATAATTTCTGTTAGATGGTTTAGAAAAGGGAACATTCCTGTGGCTCTTTGTGACTTGGTTAGGACTCCTAAGGCTCTGGCCCAACAACATCAGCAGGAGTTTCGTCTTTGATTTCAGTAGCACTAAAATTTCACTCACACAGGTTTTAGACAAAGGTGAGTACAGGGTGTGATGTTTAGCACAGTAAAGAGAAATCAAACAAACGAGTCTTCTTGTGATATTGCTCTATGGCTCATACTTTCAGTGAAGACATACTGCTGGAGGATTTTTATCACTAATATACAAGAATTAATATTTTATCATTAAAATGGATAATCAAATTGTTCAACAGCATCTTAGGGTGATCAGAATAAAGTAACAGCTGCTGCCACCTGTCCTCTGGAAAGGTATCTTCTTGTGTTGTACCCTTTGGCTACTGACAGTATTCAATAAGCATTTTCAAATGCACCTTAATGCTACAAAGTCTGCAAGAAGCCTTCCTCAGTGGCAACTGAGACAAGATAGTCCATAGAATTTCAGGGATAACTAAATATAGAATGCTCCCATTTTATTTAACAGCAATTTCTAATTCAAGACCCCCAAAATACACAACAGTGATTTTAAAAAGAAAATTAAACATCACACCATGTATTCAAGTGTTGGAGAAGTGATGTCAGCTGCCCCAGCATGACACACAAAACATTATCCTTAATATTGCTGAGAAGTCAGGAATTCCTAGCAGCTGAGTGAAATATCAGACCTCTTGTCTGAATTCGAAGAAAAACTGAACAGTTGTTTAGAGGATCATGAACCTTATCTTGCAGAACATGCATACAACAGCATACAACATAATATGATTGCAAGAAGTAGTATTAGGCTTCAAACAAGGAAAAAAAAGATGATCTTACTGCTCTTCTGATATAGGATATTTCACTGAACTGTTCACAACCACTGAATACTTAATTTTTATAGACTGCTGCAAATGTATATTCACATCAGGACACTCTGAAGTAAACTGTGGATATATACTATAGTGGTCCTTGAGACAGCTCGGATTGGGTTTCTGAGAACAACAAGCAGGAGCTGTGCAATACTGGGACTGGCATAGTGGCAGCTCTGACCACTGCATATTTCTTCTCTGACAGTAGACATTTTGACCTTCCTGGAAGGCCACTTTTAGACCATTTCTGTTCAACTTAGGGTTTTTTTCCACATTTATTTTTCTAACAATATTTTATTCATGAACATTTAAGCCTTAGATTTTCTTTCCTACTGTAATTCACGTGGTCCGTTCTTCTCAGAGGCACAAATTTCTGAAAAGCAGATAAAAACCCAGGGTCAAAACTTGCTGTGCTCAGGGGAAGAAAGATCTTGTTATCTCAACAGATACTACTAACATGTTATCTGTGTTAACTGAATGCATGAGGAAAGGGATAATTTTGAGTGGCTGGGGAGAAACCTATTCAAGAAAGAAGAACTAGTTTAATCCTTTCTTTATTGGTGATAAATGCAAAGAAATATACTTCCAACTAATGATCAAGCATAGTGCAAATTGGCCAAGGTTGGTCACTGATGTACAGTGGCTGAAATAAGGAGCTCTGCTGGGGGTTAGATAGTTGGTACATAATGTCATTCTGATATTACTATACAGAAAAACCTCTCAAGCACAACATAAATATTTGCATGAAGAACTGTTCTAGTTTTAGACCTAAACTAGGTCAGAACTGGCTCTAGCTTTAAAATTCCTCATCAGTTTTTCTGTTCCTTTCTTACCCATACAGATAATTTTCATAACCAGCTTCCAAACAGAAGACTAGAGGAATTCAAAGTAGTGCTAAAATTGCTCCATGTACAAAACTGTAGATGTACAGCCTTCCCAAAGAATGACAAAAAAAACGAAGATTCCCAGGAAGATGGAGGACACACAGTAATTGTTCAGAGACAAAAAAAATCACAATATAAAAATTGCATATTTACCCAAGCAAGAGACTGGTACCTGCATACACTTTCAAGACATGAAAGATGAAAAACATTTCTGTACCTAATTGCTGATGTTTAGGAGAATATGTTACTCTGTATTTGCCTAATTTTTATAGCTCTCATTAAGCATCCTGTAAGTGATCCATCTTTGCACATACCCAAACACAAGCAATATTTGTTAATTCAGCACATCTCATAGAGCAGGCAGAACTTCACACATTTGCTGTAATATGAAGAGCAGGAAGAGCAAAAATCAAAGGTATAATCACGTATAGATTCCATCTCTTGAACACTTTTCCTATTCCCTTTTTAATGCAGCATTTCTATCTCTACAGCAATGTAACTGCATTGCAGGATGGGGAGAGAAGCATTTTTCCATTACCTCAAAAGTCCAGATGGACTTTTCAAAGCTATATTATTACTTAATGAAATTTCTAAACTGGCAACTTTTTTTCTACTTTATTCGCTGCTTTGTTAGATAATGGAAGACAAAGTAAACCTATTAATTTTTTCATAAAAGTTTTGGATAGTTCTGCAGTTTTGGATAGTTCAGCCTATAGTTGACCACATCTCAAAGCCAGGTTCAATTCCTGTCTCAGGAATTGTGCTGACTAGAAAATGTATTTAGTCCAAAAGATGCAAGAGGGAGCCTTTGATTCAGTACTCAAAATAAGGCGCAATTCTAATTCCTAATTTGCTGATATTCTTCATCTTTTAGGGAAAATAAAATAAAATCTCACTTATTTAGAAGAAAAAAACCACAAACTATAAGAAGAAAAGACAAAAACAAAAAGAAATCAGGAAAACACAGATTAAGTAAATTTTCACTTAAGTAGATCAGTTGAACAATTTCTAACAAAGGCTGACTGGCTAATTATTTGTCTGATTAGGCAAGAAAAGCAAATTTTTTTCTTCTGACTAGGTATGAAAAAGCTGAACACATTTGGTTTCACATCAGTTTCAGAAGCATTTCTCTGAATACATTTTGCAAAGGAAAAGGAAAGTAGAGATTTCCAGGACCTACTGGGTAGATGTCAAGAGAATCACTGCTATTTTCCTTGACTCAAAAGCTCTAATTGCCTTAAGTCTCTATCTCCTCATCTCTGACTAGTTGTGTTTCCACCCACTGTTGGTGAAATACTACCACAAATCTAAACACAAAGAAAACTTAATGCCTATTTCAAGTACACAGGAATTAAACTAATCATTTAAGAAAAGTTTAGTTCTACCCATTGTTTCACTACCTTGTATTTCCACCATAAAGAAAATGAAGAGAGTGCATGTTGAAGTGTCTCTTTTCTTCTGTTCAAACCTTGGGTGCAGAAAGAAGTTCATGGCAAAAATTCACAGTGATCTTTCTGTGCAATCAGTAGCAATTTTTCCTGATACACATCAGAATTTATTGTTAGATTACTCACCTAAGCAATGCAATTAATATGACCTAAGTTAAATGACACTAATTGTACGGCAGAGGCTGTCTGCCCTGTGCATCTCTTCACCATTGTGCACAGAAAATGTATGTGCTGTAAAGTGTTAATGTTCCCTCTCCCTTGCTGGAAGAAGGCACGGTGAAAAACATCAGCATGCTCTTGGAGGTTAAATGAGTCACAGAGTGCCTGCTGCCTTCTACCTTTATTAAAATGAGATAAATGTCTGAAATAGTGTGAAGGTTTAATTTATGCCACAAACTAATTCAAACGTTTTCCATCATCACCAATTTGTTTTTGCTTTTGCTGGTTGTAATATAATTCTTCCTACTAGAGTCGTAATGCTTACCTCTGTCTTTGTGTAAAAACAAGAGGAAACTGACTCCCAGAAAAACCTAGAACAATGAAACACATCACAGTTCATTTTTAATTGTCATTTTACCTCAAATAAAGTTGGCTGTGGCATTCTGAAAGGCAGCAGAAAATATACATATACATATATATATATATATATAATGTTGCTAGAGCAAAATATACTTATCTATTACATGAAATTCCAGTATTTCCAAATTTTCCTGTATATATAGCATAACCACATTTATTGCTAAAAATAAACCTTACCACAAGAGACATGAACAGTGAATTAGCATGTAACATGCATCTGTGTGCAGTTTAAATGAGAAAACACTTTTTCATGTCTACCTCAGAAAACTAAAGCATAATCTGCTGAAAAGGAAGGATCTGCTTTCTGGTCCACGATTAGTGTTATCCTCTTTGATGTACTGGGAGTCCCAGGTAACGGATTAATGCTGCATCTGAGTGGTTATTTGCTGCTACTAAAATACGGCTGAGGGATCCTCTGTGTTGCCCCCTCTGAAATGAAATGTCAAAAAAAGCATTAGAAATCCAACTATAGAATATAAACTGGTAATTTCCATATGGCCTTGAAGAAAGGTGAAGCCCAAACCTCAAGGAACGTTAAGACAGGATAAGGGCAAGACTAGGACAGACAATCCAGCCTTATTCCATTTTTCACAGAAATCACATGTGCTATGTTAACACTGAATTAGATAACTCCATACTCCATAACTTCTTTTTTCCTCCGTTACTGTCCTGCTCAATACCCCCTATTACTTGTTTGGGAAGGTCTTACAGACACAGTTATTAAATTAAGAGCACTTACTGAGTACAAAGTTCTAGTGGGAAGAAAGCCCTTCAAATTTCTGTTCCTGCAAGCTAACTTGTAAGTACCTTGCTGTTTTCTCCAAACTTGATAAATTAAGGAATAAAACCTTCAGTGAGAACTCCATCTACACATAAATTACTCTTACCATAGTTTTAAGACAATTTTGTGAAGCCAACACATTATTAGGTTTCCAAGTAGCACTTTTTCATAGACACAGAATATAGGCTTGAGTTATCTAGTCCAAATTCTTGTTTAAAACAGGTGTCCTTAGGTAAGGTTGTGCAGACCATGCCCAGTCAAGCTTTGAGCTACCTCAGAGGCAGAGATTCCACCGTTTTCCTGAACAACCTTTTCCTGTATTTGATCATACTTTACAAAAATTTATTTCCTTCCTTAATCAGTTTTCTCCAAGTTGCAAGTTCTGTCCTTTCAACTTTGCATATCATCCTACCACTGTGTACCACCAGGAAGAATACTCAATAAAACAGCACAGACAGCAATAAGGTCTCTTCTGATCGCTCTCTTTTTCATGGAACAAACTCAATTGTCTCCTTTTTATCTCAAGTTCTCCACTTCCCTGGCCACACTGATGGCCCTGCAGTGGACTCATTCCCATATATCAGTGCTTTATATTGGAGTACCAAGAAATGCAGGGGAAAGATTACTTCCCTGGAGCTGCTAGCTATATTCTTACTAATACAACCCAGGAAGTTGCTGATCTTTGATGTTATAAACTGGTTGGACTTTTTGTTTTAATTAAATCTCAAATCTATATTTGATTGAAAATTAAAATAAGCCATTCAAAACTGAAATAAGGTTATGCACAGGGATTGTCAGTGTTTTAAACAGAGCCAGAAGGAACTGGTTAGCTTTCTACACATACTGACATATGGAGCCTTATTTATACCCAAGAGTTGCGCAGATTTAACTAGAGGTGAGTTAACAAGAGCTCTCCTGCTACTCTGTGGATACAAATCAGCATTTCAACAATTAAACTGAAAACATTTACTGTAAGTAGAGCTACTCCTTACTTACATTATGATAAATGAGAGATAGCTTTTAAGAGTTGTCAAGAAGAAATTAAATTAGTGATAAATGCAACTCATACTAGTACTTAGTTCTCACCACCCTTACCATATGCCCAGTCATGAAAGCAGTAAGACTTTTGAAACTAGTATTACTTTTTAAACTGTTAAGGTATTGCCATATAATGACTCAAATCACATTTTCATGGGAAAATGAAAAATACTACAATTTTTGCTTCAACTTCATTTACGTCTTTGACTGAGGTTAGCACATCTGAAGATATCTCGAAGTGCAGGACCACATTTTTGCTGAAATGACTTTAATAAAAACAAAGACATTAAAGTTTTACACAGAACATTCCAAAATGCCAAAGTATTAATGCAGGATAATAACTCCTACCAGCATTACTGAATTATACATTTTAAATTACAATTTTCAAAAATGGAACAGACCTATTAAAAACCAAAAATAAATTTCAAACCTATTTTAAGTATTTTCTATGCATTTATTCCTGTGAATTATTTAATGTTTTTATTAACATAGTCTGGAAATGTACAATTTTATCTGATTTATGTCTTGAGATTCTCGTAATGTTGAAGGACCTACTTCTGTAAGATTTTAAGCACGGGCACAACACTAAATGCACACAAACATTCCCTCTTATAGAATTCAGAATATTGAGTACTGAAACTACAAACTAATGCTGGGTGGATTTGCATTATATGTACGTTGCTCCCTTCCACACATTATATATTTATTCTTCTATATTACACCAGAAACAAACAAACAAAAAAAAAAAAACAAAAGCCATAAAAAGCCCATTCTTCATGCATTTTTAGCAATATGGAACATTTAGGCTTGTAGAGAGACAAAACTCCATTAAATAATAGTCTTCTTTCAAAAATTCAAGCATCTCTTGGACACAAGTAAGCAACAGCATTAAAAAAAAATAACAATAATCTTCCTTCACTGAATCACAGAATGTCAGGGATTGGAAGGGACCTCAAAAGATCATCTAGTCCAATTCCCCTGCTGAGGCAGTAACACCTAGATTAGGTCATACACGTCCAGGTAGGTTTTGAATGTCTTCAGAGAAGTGAGTCTGCAACTTCTCTGGGCAACCTGTTCCAGTATTCTGTCACCCTCAGCATAAAGTTTTTTCTCATGTTCATGTGCACCCACTGCCCCTTGCCCTATCCTATTCCTTATTTTATCACATTCTGAAAAAGATTGGGAAGACAAAATAATTCAATCAAAAATTTCCAATCACAAATTAACATTTATATTGAGGTTCAAGTAAATACTTCAACTAGCTCTTATGTTATCAGAACTCCCACTATATCTACTGCATAGAGAAGAGATGACAGACGTTAGTGAGATCCATAACCACTTAATTGTTTACATTAAGCAGAAGGTACTCAAGCATTATGCTGCTGCAGAGCTTTAATTCCTCCTCTCCATTGCATTAGCAAAAGTCCCTTTAGTGTATGAAGTCTCTCCAAATTTAATGTTGAAAATTTCCAAAGGAAATTTCACCCTAAACATGTGGAAGAGAGCTAGGTACCTCAGTGTTCTCCCAGATACCAAAAAATATTTTAGATCCTTTTAGTCATTGTTTAGCTTTGCAGACATGTGAACCTCTATATACCAGATATCTATCAGTTAAAATTCAGGTCATTTATTAATTAGTCAGTAATTACTATTTCTGGGAATGTTTACAGATGGCATCAGTTTGCTATTCTTTAAAACCTATATACAAATAAGAAAGAAAAAATACATAACTCAGGTTTTCCTGCCCCACATTGTCTTAGTATCTAATCATAAATCTATGGCATCTGTTCCTGTTTCTTTTAACATTAAACTTGCTAGTTGCTGTAATGCCTCTTTTTCAGCAGCTCTCAAATTAATGCACTGAAGTGGACTTTTCTTATTAACAAATGTGAGTAAAACCCAGTCAGGATATCATTGCATTAGCTTGAGAATTGTGTAATACTTTTTCATAGCATTATCAAAAATCTACCTACCAAAGGCTAACTTTGTAGAGAGGAGGGAGAGAAAGGAGCATGCACCTTCACTGTTGTGCAGGCATAAACAGGGCTGATTATTTTGAGCAGATTTCCCAAAGAGTATGTCAAGAACTACCTTCAGCATGGTGCAGATTATAAGTAAGGTTTAATTTGGAGGTATTAATAGCTACCTTGATAATTTCATCTCTGCAGATGTTATTAGTAATACAGCAAAAAATTCTATATCCATTTTCCTGAGGCCATTAGTCTGGAAGTTCATGTGGAGAGAGGTATAATATGAATTTCTTTGCACAGTGTGCATTTTCAAAATGAGAGTACACTGGTTTCTAACCTTTATAATGAGTGACAAAAAGAAGTACAATTTTTTAAAAAAGAAAAACTTTGCCAGTTCTCTGGGGCTTATATACTACAGGTGCCTACAATTACACAGAAGCATGCATAATATTATCACTCAGATATTTAACTTCATCTGGAACATCTCCCCTGTGAAGAAAGGCAAGGTGAACTGGGTCTGTTCAGCCTTGAGAAAAGAAGACTGTGAGGGTTCCTGATCCAGGTTTATAAACATCCAAGGTGTTGGGGGCAGAGTGGCCAGACTGTTTTCAGCAGTGTGTGGAGACAGGACAAGGGGAAACAGCGAGAAACTGCAGCATAGGAAGTTCCACACAAATGTGCGCAAGAACTTCTTTACAGTGAGGATGATGGAGCACTGGAACAGGCTGCCCAGGGAGGTGGTGGCGTCTCTGGAGATGTTCAAGACCTGCCTGGACACCTACTTGTGCAACCTACTGTAGGGAACCTGCTTTGGCAGGGGGGTTGGACTCGATGATCTCTGGAGGTCCCTTCCAACTCCTATGATTCTGTGATTATATCATTGCACAAAATCACACTCAAAGTCATTTACCTGTGAGACTGTAGTAATAAAAATGGAGAATATGACCATTTTCCAAATAAAACTGCTAACATCAAAATTGACGATTTTATGATCTTGAGTAAGCACTTAATACATTATTTCCTATCTTAAAAGTCAAAATTTCAAACCACAAACTGGGAGCATTACAAGGATATTGGATAAAAATATAAACCTTTAGGAAAGTGTTTGAAATCAGAATATAGATTACATGTTTTCCATAGAAAATCCCTGAAATTCACTAATTTTACAAAACATGCAAAAGCCTGAAGAACCTACCAACAAAACCTGAAAGGTTGCAATTCATTCAGTCAATGAATTAATATAGGTTTATACTAGGCAAAACAGTTGGTAGAAACCTCACACTCTTTAAAATGAGATAAACTAACTCATCTGATTAGTAAAAAAAAAAAAGGGATAAAGAAAGTCTCAAAAATGGTAGAGAGCAGATTTTTCAAGAGACTTTATTAATAAAATTAACCTATATGATCCCTTTTAAAGTTGACTACTATAGTGCATTCCTTTAATATTTGTATAAGCAGGCATTAAAAAGCCTTAAGCGTATTTCATAGAATCATAGAATCATAGAATCACCAAGGTTGGAAAAGACCTAAAAGATCATCCAGTCCAACCGTTCACCTATTCCCAATAGCTCCCACTAAACCATGTCCCTCAACACAACATCCAGCCTTTCCTTGAACACCCCCAGGGTCGGTGACT